ACCTGTAACGGTAACTTCTTTTACACTTACCCTCTGGTATTCCTCCTACTGTATCTGAGACTCCTGGTAGATTTGGTTATATTTTCTGTGAGCCTAGGGCTGGACCCTAGCTGGCCTCTCTTAATGGCTTACAAAAAAAATAGGCTTGTCTCAAGGAGGCCCCAGTGTGATATGTAGGTTCAGTAGAAATGTCAGAAACTGCTGAAAGAGAGACACGCTGGCGTTGATGAAATTAGTGGGACAGGGAAATAGTGTTTGCAGTTAAGCAGAAGTGCTTTCTGACTGCTTTTGAGATTCATTTGGGAAAATGCTGAAAGTTTTGAGTCAGTTCTTGATTTTATCTAATTGGTTCACACTTCCTTTGCATAACAGAAATAGCAATGTACAATATGCACCCATGGCATCTGTGGACAGATAAGACCTTTTCAACAGTTGCTTACTGTAATTGTCTGCAGTGTTTTTTTCCCATTGTTAATTGTAACAATATTTACGTTTATGTGTGTTTTTATGTCCTTTGTCAAGCTGATTTAAGAAGGCACAAAGCAGCTCTTTCACGAAAACAGGGGCTTGTTAGAAACTAGCTGACATCAACTCAACTGAGTCTCCGCTTGTATAACATTTTTAATAAATAAACTGAGGGTATGTCTACATGGCACAATGCAGTGCAGTGTAGCGATACCCAAGCTACCTTTATTGAGTTTACCTCAGTAGTCTAGCTGTGTTAAAATGAAGTCCCACCTGGGAAATTATCTGGGTGTTTGTCAGGGGTGTCTGTGTACTGCATTGTATTATGCAGGGTGGACATATCCTGATCTGCTTGTATAGTGCTTTAACACATATACATATCTCACAAGGTTTGTTACATGCTTAGTAATGCAGAGCTTTTTGCCCCCACCCCTTTCTCTTTTATGCAAAAAGAGGAAATGGTTTTTCTTATTCATGCCTCTTTCTTTGCCAGAGAAATCTTAAAAATCATTTGCACAAAACATGTCATCTAGTAGCTTTGACTATGCTGCTATATATATGTGAACTTTGAATCTAACATTTTCTTCCTAGGTACTACAAATGTGAAGTTTGATTTACATTTGTTTTTCTTGCAAACTAGGAAGAGCATAAAACACAGGCAGCTTTCCGTTCAGATGCCATAGACTGTGTGTAAAAGCAGTCTGGAAAAAGCCACAAGGAGCAAGGAACCAGCAGGGAGGCAGGAGGGTTTGGAAGTTTAACAGACATCTTCACAGCCAACAGACCAAGAGACTCTTGTTCCAAGCTGTATCTTACTTGAATATGTATTAGAACAGTTTATGCTCTTTTAACTTCTGGTTTCTCTCTTAGAAATCCAAATTTAGGTAGATGAGTTGCCCATGCTAGTTACACCTAGGATCTTGCCAGGTCTGCATCCTTCATCCTGGGCAGTTTTAGAAACTAGTCTTGGGGTTTTTAAAGGAACTATAATTTTGATGTTTTTTTATAGATACCCTACAACAGCCAAAAGGCACTGAAACCAGGCCAGTCAGGATGTCCTGTTGGGGTTTTTGGAGCAGCTCCCTCTTTTGCCATAACCAATAGAAACAAGAGAGGGCAAGTGGAAGAGTCCCAATAACCAGTTATTCAGTTACAGTTATTCATAACTGTAGTTATTCAGTACACTCTCTTTGGTTATGTGAGTTTGCTTATTGGTCAGAACTTCTTGCCAATGCTGCTTGTAATTGACCTGGTGAAAGCTAGCATACTTGACAATACTGTTATAAACCTATGTTCTTGGTTTTTTTGTTTGTTTTTCTGTTTCTTGTTTCTTTTTCTTTTTCTGTATTTTTGTTCTTTTATAGCATGTGAGTTGCATCTGAAGAGCAGAGGTTAGAACAGAATAGCTATTTCAGCTGCTTTTGCTGAAATGTCAGATCCCAAGAAAGGAGAAGAGGGTTCCAATTCATAGGGTCAAGCAGGGACATTACTCTATTAAATTTACCTTAAAGTGACACACTAGGGCAAGTGGTATTGGTATAATATTTGACAAGGCTGAGAGGGAAGAACAGCAGCCTAATAACATCACTGTTTTCCATCCATTGCACTATATAAATAATTCAGTGTTCACTAGAATAGGGACTGGCATAGGTGGATTAACACCCTGCCCCTGCGTGCATCCCCAGGGGAGCATAGGGAGGCATATGCCCACTGGATTTGTGCACGGGGTGAGGGCGGGCTGCCCACTGCAGGCTTGGGGCCAGGAGCTATGCTGGCCTTTCCCAGTGGGGGGCCAGGCTGGGGCAGGCAGGGGCAAGACGGGCTCAGCTGCACGGGGCAGGTGGCAGCAGCAGCAGCAACACTGGGAGGGGTGGCTATGGGGGGAGCTAAACTGAATACTGGGGTGGCTAAAGCCCCACAAATCCCCTCCTAGTGCCACCCCTGCTCAGGGCACTCCGTTAAGTCTTTCCTCAGGAGCCCTGCGCTAGCCACGCACCCCTGCCTGCCCCACAGCAGTGGGCTCCCGAGGGAAAGGCAGCAGAGCAGAGTGCTCTGAGCAGGGGCGGTGCTAGGGGGGGCTTGGAGGGCTATAGCCACCCCAAAATTCTCTGTAGCCACCCCTCCCAGTGCTGCTGCCACTACCTGCCCCGCTCCCAACCCCCCCACCAGGAAGAGGCCAGCGCTGCCCTGGCCCCAAGCCTGTAGTGGGTAGTCCACCCTCACCCCATGCACAAATCTGGGGGTCACATTCACCCCATGCCTCCCCTGGGGGTGCATGCAGTGGCAGGGAGCTGCCCACCCCCTTGTGCACTCTAGCTGAGCCACTTGCAGCTCCACCCCACGCCCCACCCCAGGGTCCCATTCACTGCCCAGCTAGGCCTGCCCCAGCCTCTGCCCCTCCTGCACTGCCTCCCTCACTGTGGGGGGCTTGATCTGCCGCCCCCCACCCCAGGCCTCATCTCTCCCCCACCTTCTTTCCCAAAGACTTACTGGCAAGATACTGCTCTCCAAGCTGCTGGGCTGCATTCCTGGCCACGTGCATGGTGGCTGCGTGCATGCACACGGCATTTATTGGTGACATTATCAGGTACATCAGCCAAAAAAAGCTGATGGCCAATAATGCTAATTTTCCTTTTATCTGTGCTGATCTGATATGTGACTAATATATACATGCACTTCTAGAGGAGGCCTCCAATTTTGTGTTTGCCCAGGGCCCCAGTAACTCTTAATCCACCTCTGGTGACTGGAATGTAGCTACCCTAACTCCCAGGTGAATGTCCTCACCACTGGGCTAGGGAAGTCAGTCTCTATTGCAATGACTGCTTTGTTCGAATACTCAGTATGAAGTGGGACAGCTTCAACAGGAGGAATTGGGAGTAACTTACACCAGAAAGCCTTCAGCCTGGCAGTGGGGAACTTGGGGCAGATCCAGGGGGCGGCAGCAGTGTGGTATACTCGCAGTTTGGCTGTGCCATACATGAGCTGTTGGTGCAGGGTCTGGCTGAAGCCCTTGCTTCAACAAAGCTCCAGGGCCCAGGCTGTCACCACCAGTTATCCTCTTCCTTTTCCTTTCTGCTGAATTCAACAGGGAGAAGTGCCAACAGCAACATTGCTTGTCCCCTGGGCTCCGGCACCATGTGAAAGCAAGGTCTCCAGCTAGCCCCTGCCCTGATCAGCTTGTGAGTTCAGAGCTCACTGCTTATGCAGAGCTTTGGTAGGAGCCCACACTGACCAGGCAGTGAGCTCACTGCATGTGCATGGCCATGGGCGACTGGTGCCACCTTAGTCGGGGGGGCACGTGGCCAATCTTGCCCACCGGCAGGGGGTCCCCCACGGCCCATCACGCCAACTGGGAAGTGGCCGCAGGACACCTGGAAGTGGCTGTGGCATTTCTGGAAGTGGCTGTGGCTCCCACTCCCTGGGCAGCACTCGCAGCGGGGGCACTGCCCCGGGGGCACTTGCCCCCTCTGCCCATTGCTTAAGTGGGGAGCATGGCCTGTCAGCAGGTGCACCAGTGCTCTCAGAGGGTGCACATGCACCCCTGTGTACCCCTACACATCACCATGGTGCATGGCAAAGTTAAGTAGTGTAGCCACAACCCCTTGACCCATTCCTGGATCTGATTTGGTACTGGGCAGTCTTGTGGGAGGCATGGGTTCGGTTCTCCTCTGACCCTAGAGGGAATAGACTTTGTGCCTCCCACTTTCTAGGTGAGTTCCCCAACCATTTGAACTATTATATAAGAGGGGCTACATCACCCTCAATTTTTCTACCAGCATTTTAGCCAACTTGCCCGTTCATTATTTTTGCTTCTCTTGTGAATACCTAGAATATTCTATTTTGGGTCAAATGGGATGTTTTATGCTGAACTGAATAGAACATTGTGCTTTTTCATTTTGGCTAAAAAAAAAAAAAGAGAGAGAAAATAAAGTTTTGTTTGAGGTGAACCAAAGCTTTATTTTTAATATTTATTTTACGAGGGGAGGAGTTTGGCTGTTGACCTTAAAAAAATCTGTGAATTGTATATCCCCAAACATAATAGTCTCTGTGTTGAAGATATCACCATCTAAATAGACAAGAAATAAAGCATGGGAAATATTTTTATCACCATTTGATTGAAGGAAAACTGACAGTCCTGGAAGATGGAGTACATCCACATCAGTCCTGTGGTGCTCCCAGTCAGGAGTACCCTGGAGGAGACACCACCCCAACTTGCACACACCAAACATGCAAATAAGGCAGTGAAGCTGCTGCAGAAGTGCCCCACATAATTGTTGTCATGCTCATTATGTCCAGTTATGTGTGTGGGGAGAGTCTCAGTGGCCTTGCAGGAGGGGGTGGAGAGGGCATGCTCAGGAATGTGTCTGCCTTAGAGTACCAACCATGCCGTATAGCAACTTGTCCAAAGTAATGCAGAAATTTTGTGCCAGAGCCCAAAATTGAACCTGGAGCTCCTGAATCGTAGTCCAGTGCTAGATTGGCAAGACTGTGCTTTTCCAGCCTTAGAAAAATGAATTATTTATTTATTTCTCCAGGAGCCTGTTTGTCAACTGGCAGAAAAAAATTGGATAGAAGAAGCACCCTCTACTGCTGGACCGGACGGGGCAGAAAAATATGTCACTTGCAAACTGAAGTGTCTCTGGGCATAAATGTAACAGTCACTTAAGCTCAATCAATTAGAGCACCTGTCTCAGTACTGTTTATCTGGAGGTCAAATTTGAAAAGGCAGCAGCTGGCAAAAAAAAAATGTTCATGGACAAATGTGTATAATTTTTTTAACCTCCTCCCCCCCATTTTTTTTTTCTTGTAGCCAATACTTGACTGAATTATGAGGCTTAGGACCATCAATTTCTCAGTTGCTTGAGATGTAGAAAACCAGAATGGAGTTCAAGTTATAATTGGTTTGTCCCTCCTCTCCTTATGATCTAAATTTTAGCACGGTTATTTTGTTTGAGTTATTTGCCATGTGTTACTTTAATCTCCCTGTGGTGTGTCAGTTTTGCACCCTTCTTATTCAGTCAAAATGTTTCCACTAAACTGGTGAGCATAAACAGGCTTTTTCTAGAACTAATAAAGCTTCACTTTTATTAAGGTTTTCTTTTCTTTTATAAATTAGTGAGTGCAGGAGATTTTTTTCCCCCTCCTCAAATTCTTAGTTCCAGTGAACGGAAATGAGTTTTATATTGGGGAAATGAAGAGAAAGTGTCAAGAGTCTCAGGATCGAAGGAAATGAACTTGCTGAGTTCCATAGTGATAGTGTTATGTTGTTCCACCTGTTTCTTTAATTACTAGAAGTAGCTGAGCCGTATCAGCTGCCTCTGAAGCTCTGAGAGGACAGCAAGTGCTGATCTAATCAGAATCAGGCTTCTTTTCAGGTTTGCACACAGAGTCAGAAGGCCTCTTAGGATTGTTCCTCCACAGATATGTAGGTCACCTGAGCTTCAAACTTGCTTTGAAGATCAGAAGCAATCTACATGGTTTCTATAATCTACAAATTCCACACCCCCACCTTTTTTTTCTGAATCGCTGCTTTAAGAATAGAGTTCATTGAGTGCATAGACACATTTTGGTTTCTTGCCATGTAATAATATTAGACTTACTGCATGCTGCATTTTATTATATAGGGATTAATTTATTTTCATTTTGCTAAGGAGCCCTACATCACCTCTAACAAGTATGCTATTCAGCGCTGGTTAAACTGGTAGTTCTCTGATTGCTCATTCAACTCCCCCCCACAAAAAACCCCACTGTGGGATAGCATTCCACTGCAAAAGTTATTCCTCCTGAGAGTTTGGCTACAGCTGAATCCAAACCAGAAAATAGGCCCCCTTCCAATTCTGGAGGAAACTCAGAACTAAAGCTGTTATAGGAACGGCTTTGGAGGAGAACCTCTGAGCCACCCAGCCAGAATAATTACATTCAAGGTTCCTGGTTTGGTGCAAGTTCTATATATTAATATCCAGGACTTGCAGTGACGTTACAGCAAGGGACTTTTTTTTTTGTTTTTTCTGCTTCTTTGCCTTCACAGTTACAACTTTGTCAGTTATCTTTAGTGTAGTATTGAGCCTTTATTTCAGAATCCCATCATCATGACTTCTTGCTGCCCAAGGCAAACTACCTGGACTCTCTTCCCTTTATTTTAATAATCTCTGACTCGGGACCACTTCTCCTTCAATAACCTCCACTTTTTTTTCTATCTGCCCTCTGTTTTCTCTTATTTATGGCAACTGTCATGCTTATGATTCTCCTATTCGTCCTCTTCCTCTTATCAATTTTTCTGGATGAGCTGAAAATGAGATTTAATGGGCCTCCCACGGCTGTAGCTCTTGTGAGATTAGTGGGATTGGATCTTCTTCTCTTGAGAACTAGATTAAAAGAAGGGGAGAGAGGGAAAAGTCGGCCAGAACACTCAGGAGGATGGTGACAGAAAGTGAGGCTAAGGAAGGAAAAAAATGATTTTCAGGATGTGATATAATGGTTGGGGGCCTTTTTTGGTTTAACTGGCTCCTAGCCAGTGTTTTTCTGACATGTCAGTGCCACTCCAGTGTGAGAAGCTTAACGGTTCCATTATTAAGCCATTTAGCAAGCCCTGCCGTCACCTGAATGCTCCAATTTTTATCAGAATGGCCTTAGGCTACTAGCCATAAATGAGCCACTAGTTTTAATGTGCTTTTTTTGGCTGACCTCTCTGTCCCCAGATTCCCAGAACCTGCTCCTCTCCCCCCCTCCCTCTTCCCCCACCCAAACATGCACACACATTAATTGTACTTCCATGCTGTGGACACCTGTTAGGAAGGGCACAGCTGAACTGGTTCCTAATACTTCCAAATCTCTGATAATGCTCCAGTTAAATCTCTCTTTCTCTCTCTCCCTTCCTTTCCCTTTCCCACTATCCTTTCCTTCAAAGTCTGGTTGTACTTTTCCCTTACTTTACCTGACTGAAACAAGGATTTCTGCTCATGTGTAAGGTGAGAAGCATTTATTCTAAAGATGTTTATTGATTTTCTTCTTCTTATTTTTTTTTTTGCAGGCTGGTAACTATGTTTTTTGGAGTTCTCTGCAGGTTTCTATTCAGCTCCCCTGCCTAAGTGCCTCGGTTTCTTCCCCTGACCTTACATTACCTATGAGGAATGATTTGTCTAGACTAGAGCAGCATTTCTCAAGCCATGGGTTGTGACCCAAAAGTGGGTCACAAAAATATATGAAAGGGTCGCGAACAAACTTTAAAAATGGATTCTCCTTTAAAGGAGAAAAACACAGGAAACTGCAGCTTCCCCCCTGCAGGCTGGCAGAGCTCCAGCCTGCAAGGGGCTGCTTGGGGTACCCCGTGTCCCACACTCCACCCTTCATCATCATACCACACACCCACCCCCTGCCCCACACACTGAGGGGTTGGGGTCTGCGGGTAGGTGGCAGCAGGTCTGGAGTGAGGGGCATTGGGTCAAAACTGGCCATTAATGTTTACAAATGACTCCTGGTACAAAAAAAGTTGAGAACCACTGGTCTAGAGCTTAGGTTTCAGGAGACCTGACTTCAATTCCCATCTGCGCGAGAGGATTCCTAATTGATATCACACCAGCCTGTCTGTGCTTCAGTTCCCATCTTGAGAATATGGGTAATAATGTTAACAAGGATGGAGAGAATCAAGATATGAAGCACTTAGATAGTCTGCTGACAGGCACCACAGAAGTACCTGAGATCAGGGATGTCAAACATGGCCCTCACCACCTCTATGTGGACTGCTGGACCATAGGCAGGCCACTAGAAATTGCACAGGAGGGCATGGCCAATTTGGGAACCTTTGACCCTACTGGCTGTGTCCATCAATGGTACGCTTGGCATACTACTACCACCCAAGACCACCACCCTTTGTGGACCCCTTCCCCTGCACCCTTTGCTGCTACTGCCAGGTCTACCACAGCTGCAGTGGCCATAGTGGCCACTCCCGTGCTCTGGGCTGAATCCAGCCGGCAGGGAGCCCCTGTTTGAATCTGGCCCAGTGCCCCAAGTGAGTTTGACACTCTTGCCCTAGTTGGCCAGCATGTCATTCATTTGTCTGTGAAATTGCATAGACCTCGTGACTTCTCCCCTCTTCTGTGGGCAGGTACAGGATATGGAAGAGAAACACACCTATATGACTGAGTTTGTGCTGTGCCCCATGGGCTCCATATGGACGGAAGCTGAGCAATAGGCTGAAGGAAAGGGCAAAGGAAGAGTGGTTTAGTTGGTGGATAAAGTTGGTTTGGGGTTCAGGCCCCTGACGTGAGAGGAATAAAGCAATCACAGCTGATTTTATTTCACCAATAAAAACAAACATACATGAGATCTGTGCAAAAGTTTCTATCAGCTGCACACAGTTCAAAGAGAACAGGTGCAGTATGCCAGGGAGTCTTTTTAATGCTACATTTGAGCTACCTTATGAATATGAGAGAAACCCACAGAGACCTGGAGAGCTCAAAGGACAGGACGACCATACTCCTTTTCACTCACTTTGCTTAGCCTCTTGTTGGTTCCCCTTCTTTTTCTTCTGTGTTCTGTTGCTGTCACTACAGCAGAGTGAACCATACCTTATTTATTGTTGTCAAATCCTTGATTTGCTAAAAAGTGTAGTTTCTGGAGTAATAGGATTCAAGTTAGTTTGGGCTGAGACAAATGACAAACACACTTAGAAAAACATTGCAGCAGTTTCTTTAGAGGGGTCTAAACAAACTGTTGACATATCTTTGGGTACTTCTAATAAAGGGAGTGGAAATGAAGGACTAGACTCCCAGTAGAGAAGGATGAAGATGACAAAGTGTGGTGGTTCCACATTTTTTCCAGTATCCCAGTGGCTCAGACACTGTCCTGTGGTGTGGAGATATGGTCTCATTTCTCTTCTCTTCCTGAGGAGACTGGAGTCCACATTTTTCATCTGAGACTGCCCTAACCAGGTCATGCTAACAAGCTATTTGAGGTTGAACTGCTCTCAATATCTTTTTGATACTGTTCCACCTTGGTGTCCTAGGGCGTGTGTAGACAAAATGGGGGTCCTAAATTGAAGCAGTGGATAATAAAAAAACCCCGCTTCAATTTAGGGCCGATCAAACCCCCATGTTGTGCGCACACCCTGCTGAGTTACCTGCCTTCCTGGTGGGGAGGAAAGGGCAAGCTGCTGGCAGGCGGAGTGGTCCCTGGGCTGCAAGGGTGGCTAGTACTTCCCTCCATGGCAGCAGCAGCCCCCCCAGGCAGCACCTGCCCACGGGCACCTGGCTCAGGTGGTCCCTGGGGGCACCACAGATGTGGAGGGAAGCACCGGGCCCCCACACAGGTCAGCCAGGCAGGCAGGTTCGGGCAGGGGGGAGATCAGGCTCACTGCTTTTCTTGTGTGGAGCCTGCCTTCCCAGGCTGTTGCCAGGCTGCCTGCAGGGCTTCCTGTACAGCCCCTGAGGTGCATGGAGTCCAGTGCTTCACTCTGCAGCTGTAGGGGCAGTAAACTAAAACTCCTTCTTGGAGTTTTAGTTTGCTGTGCCCCAAGTCATTTAAGGTGCATTACACCACCGAATTTCCTACAGCGGCTGGAATTAATGTGCAATACACTGCCCAGGTGTGAAAACACCAACATCATTGAAACGATGCAAAAGCATTTAGCCTGCTTTGAAGTGTCATGCACACACGCTCCTCATTTTGTCTACACGTGGCCCTAGCTCCCAGATGAACATTCCAGCTACCAGCTTACATGTTCAGCCTCTCTGCCTGAATGAATACTTGTGTTTTATTCAAACTGAGTTTTCAGGGTTTCTTTTCTTTTCAGTGAGAACTACAAACATATTTTTCTTTTGAGTTGATCCAATACAATCTTTTTCCCTTCAGTTTTTCAGTTTAATCATTGCATAGCTCTAATTTTCACCACAATTTGAGTCAGGAAAGGACTGTATCTTAAATGTGGATTTCTTGACATTTGGGAATTATTGTGAAAACAGTGACACCATCTTTAAAATACTGGAAGAACAATGTAGCTCCCATGGAATCTGAATGGATAAGTCTGACTCAAATGGCATCCTTTGAGAAAAT